GTGCCACGGGACAAAATTCATTCTTTACCCCCCCCCCCCCCCCCCTTTTCCACTCCACCGCTAAACTCTGAAACCCATTATTTTCATCCATTAACACTATAGCCCATAGATGCCCCCTCTAGTCTGGAGCCCGGGGACATATGTCCTCTATGCCCACCTTAGCTACGCCTCTTTCTACTGCGTATCTGGAAATTTGATCGAATGAAATTTCGTCGACGGTACATTAATCGACGGTGATTTGATCGAACGGAAATTTGGTCGAATCTATTTTTCAGTGTCTACGTTAAATTTTGCTTCAAATTTCTTTTTAAACGCATTATTTTGTTTAACTATACAGTATAGTGCGTTCAAAAAGAAATTTGTCCAAAATTTTAACCTGTGAACCATTTCATAAATCTCACTAACATTTTTTGCTGCTTAGTTTGTGACATTCGAATATGTGCGCAATAGGTTTATGGGACTATCTTTTCGCTATCGTCGCCTTCTTTGATAACTTTTTTAGCAAATAAATAATAATATGTTGGTTGTCTTTGTTTTTTGTGCATTGCACACCACTCACCAATGATTAACATGGAATACTAAACTTAGTTTTTTTGTCTTTTCTTCGAGAGCTTTCGTTCTGGCTTGCAAGTATTGTACAGAATGATTATACGGCCCGCGTTCGTCATTTTGTCCGTTTTCCGGTCCGCCTGCCATAGTCGAACAGTGTGTGTGTGACGTGTGTGCGTGTGTGTGTGCGGTTGGGGGGGGGGGATTTAGCCTAGGGCCCCACAATTTTATGGACATCATGCTGGCTACGATTTTGGAAAAAAAACATTCTTCTTTTTAAATTAAAAAAAAATATCGGTTTTAAGTACCTAAATGTTTTTTAAGATTTAAGATGTGTTAAGATTTGGCTCAAAGAATACAATAAATATATACAGTGGAACCTCTCATATCGAGTTTAATTCGTTCCAGACTCTTACTCGTTAAGCGAAACACTCGTTAAACGAAACAATTTTCCCATACAAATCATTGTAAAATACATTGCGTTCCATGTCGAAAAAATTATAATTTTTCAAAAAATTTTATTAACATTTATTAAAATAAAATTACTTATGAATTGTTAAGGAGTGTAACAACTTGGAATACAATTTAGATTTGAAACAAAAAATCGTAAATAAAAATATGAATTTATGACAAATAATTAATCCATTTTAACTAGAAAACTGTCTAAAGACATTTGTTTTTGCCGACGCTTCAAAATTTGACGAAAATGTGTCACAGCATTATCATTGAATAAGTTTGTAGCACGAATAGCCACCTCCTTATTAGGGTGATGCTTCTCAATTTGCGATGCAACAGTTTCCATTTGAAGCATCCATCTCCTTAATTTTTTTTTTTTTGTTCTTGAGAATAGTGCAGATCGTTGATGTTGACCGATTATATGCGCGCGCTAGATTAGCCACGCTCACACCTTGTTCTCGCTTTTCATTGATTTTACGTTTCATTTCAACAGTTATTTTTTTTCTCTCATTTGATTGTCTTCTTGTGTTTGTTTTTTTTTTTTCGAAGACATTTTAGAATAGGTTATTACACTTTGCAAATAAAAAAATTACGAATACTGTCTGAATACAAAATTTGTAAAAACTGGTGATCACAAACGAAAACAATGCGCTAAAAGACCAGGGGCTCAACCACAGACTAATGCAATGGTTCTCAACCTTCCTAGTGCCGCGACCCTTTAATACAGTTTCTCGTCTCTTGGCGACCCCCCAGCAACCTAATTATCTTCGTTGCTACTTTATAGCTGTAAGAATACGTGTTTTCAGATAGTCTAAGGCGACCCCTGGGAAAGGGCCGCGCTACCCCCAAAGGGGTCACGACTCACAGATTTAGAACCGCTGGATAGATGCATCTGCGCGGAAGCCCCGGCTCACAAATGGATGTCAGGAAAAAGGGACTTCCCCCTTCTGCGTAACTCATGCGAAATATCGCTCTTTAAGGGAGCAACTTCTTCACATTTTTTTGCTCGTTATGCGAATTACTCGTTATGAAAGGTGCTCGTTAAGAGAGGTTCCACTGTATAAATATTTATATATATATGATATATATATATATTTTATCAACTTACAGCAAGTGAAAAATATAGACTCCTTGAAACCACATGTATTATTTTACAAGCACATTATATAACGTTTCGTATAGCACAGATTCTCTCTCTCTCTCTCTCTCTCTCTCTCTCCCTCCCTCCTCTCTCTCCTCTCTCGCTCTCTCTCCTCTCTCTCTATCTCTCTCTCTCTCTCTCTCTATCTCTCTCTCTCTCTCTCTCTCTCTCTCTCAGATAAAAAATCCTAGTGGGCTTTTTATAGGCATTAAATCAAAATGTTCTAGCAAAGAATTCTAGAAATTCTGTCATTTTTTAAAGCATTCTTTAGGGCAAATAGAATGTATTATAAAGTAAACAACATTTTACCAACCAAGGGAGGGTTGGGTAAGGGATGACACAACACATTTAAACGATGACGTCAACATCAAGGCCATGCTAGGAGAGGAAAGTTTTGGTGGATAAAATAGTTATAGGTTGAAGTAGCACAAAATTGCCACGGCATATGCTAGACTAAGCTATATGGTAATAATCGGGAGTTTTTTTTGTGGGAGGGGGGGGTGAAGGATAGGTTTATTTAGTTTAAACAGTTTTATGAAAGGCTTATCAATTTTAATCCTTTCTATAGTTACAGTAGTATTTGAAATTACAAATAAACCTTAACAATAAATGTACTCATTTCTTTGGGGCTGGGGCTGGTTGGGGAGTTTATACTGCTTCAGGTTGGGGAGTTCATACTGCTTCAGGTTGGGGAGTTCATACTGCTTCAGGTTGGGGAGTTCATACTGCTTCAGGTTGGGGAGTTCATACTGCTTCAGGTTGGGGAGTTCATACTGTTTCAGGTTGAGGAATTTATACTGCTTCAGGTTGGGGAGTTTATACTGCTTCAACTTTCCTTAGATCAATAACACACCCTAATAATATTTGATGCCTTTTATGTTATCTCCAATCTTTTTAACATAAGTATGCGGTTCATTTACAATTTTTTAAAATCATTATAATACAGCTGTTGGAACTTTTCAAAACAGTACTTGCTTGAAAATATTTAATCTTTAAGTCAAGGCCAAGAGGTAGTTAGTATGCTTAAATTTTTGTTTCATTTTTGTTCAACACTTATAGCAAATGATGTTAGCAGTGCTTTCTGGGGCGGACACATTTTTGACAGACATATTTTATTTTTAAAATATATATTTATAATTGTGTAGTTAAAAAAAATAAAAAAATTTATAAAGACAACTCGGCCAAGTAATGTTAATCTTTAATTGTGCCCTCTGCTTAGGTGTTGAATGAGGCAAAACCATTTTCTGGTACGCTCCAAAATACATCCCTGGTTTTTAATTTATCAATAATTTTCTAAGAAGTTGAGCTCCTTTACCGAGTTTTAATTTTCCTTGCCCACCTTCACACGTTATCACAGTTAGACCGCCCCCCCACCCCCCAAACAAAAAAAAAACAACAAAAATGCCGTAATACCTCTGCACCCCCCCCCTCCCCGCCCCCCCTCCCCCCCCCCCCAACTCCATTTAAATAGAAATTCCAGTTCAACTTAAGATTCAAAATCCAAATTATTGTCCTTTTATTATATCATTGCATTTCATGTGCATCAAATGTAAATTTTGTTAACATATATTTGTGGCTCCAATCATAATAATAGTCGGGGTATTTTAAGACAATACTTGGTGGGTCCGAGTCCAGGTATTACAATTCAGGAATTATTTATAGTTGAAAATAATTTGAAATTTCTCAAAATGAATTACGCAATGTGTGTTGAGAAAATATTTTCAATAAATTCTAAAAATAAAACACATTTTTAAATTTTTCTTCGACAATTAATTCAAATCCTTTGGCTACAAAAAGCGCTTT